CCTACCTCTCCCTCATCAACTCACACTCCCTCTCATCAAGAACTGTAATTATTATTATTATTATTATTATTATTATTATTATTATTTTCATTTGTAGCTGATAATTTATTAATATTTTCTCTTTCAATTATTTATAAATATCTTTTGAGAAGCAATAATTTAAATTAACTTGTTACTGATTGTTGAAGTCTTAAATGTAACTGGTCAAGTGCTGCCTATTCATGTCCATCAGTGTTAGTGTATTGAGAATGTCTAGCCCATTGCAATTGATGTGTTAGATATGTAAATCTGTCTTGTGTAGGTAAACTTGTATTTAGTGTATGATGTATATATATACATACAGAATTGCATGTACATAGGCGTAGAAATGATTCAAAAGTTGGGGGGGCTCAACATTAAAAAGCATGACTTAGCATGTGAATATTGGGGGGGCTAAGCCCCTCTTGCTGAAAAGTTGGGGGGGGCTTCAGCCCCCCCCCCATTCCTACGCCTATGATGTACATGTACAAGTAGCTACTTCAGTTCCTTCATTACTTCATACATGTACGTAATCCAGGATGTACAGGTACATGTGATGTCTTTATTAAATTAATTTTATCTGTACTAGCCCTTAATGTTGGCTTCATTTTTGAACAACTGTAAAAATTCAATAAGTTCAATTTTGATCCAAATCAGCTCAATCTGTCTATGTACTATAACATCAGGACATGTATGTGCTTAAATATGAAAATTTAGGATAATAGGATTGTCACTTAACCAATTCTGATGACAATTGAATGTACATGTAAGAATATTATAAAAGTGTCTCCTTCCTACGCATGTACTGTACATGTACATTTACTTTCCTCCAACATGACAATTTGATTGGTCAATTACAAAAAGGCATAATAGAACATCATAATTAATTCCATAATGAAACTGTATAACTGTATGTTACATGTGCATGCACATGTATGTACTGGTATTATTATTATATTAATGATCAAATTGTCTCCCTCTTGTAGCTATCTCATTTCTTTCCACCTCTTTCTCATTGTCATTTCTTAAACTTCTTCCTCTCATTCTCTCTCGTCCTTTCTCTTAGTATCAATCTCTCCTTTCTTTACTTAGTCCATCATCCATGAGTCAGGGAGCCCCTCATATCCATAACTTATACCAGTAGTACCTCCTCTGATGGAAGACATCTTCAATAGGTTTGATCAATTCTGTTCATTATCCTCCAAATTTATTATCAAATCTGGAGGATAAAGAAACTAGCACAAGTAAAGACAAAGGACTCAGTGTAAGGAGCTAGTGGAGAGATTGATATCTAATGGAATATCAGGGAAAGAAATGACTTTACCAGGTAATGTATTTTTAGTTGCATGATGTTTCCTAGGAGTAGTACCCAGCATATCATACTAATGTCTCCTCCATCCTTCTATTCCCTTACTCTGTCCATCTCTCTCATTTTCTTTCTCCCCCTCTCTCACTCCTTCCCTTCCTCTCTCTTCCTCCTTCACTGTCTCTGGCTCCCTCCCCCGACCTTCTCTCTCTCTCTCTCTCCATCTTCTGTCTCTCCTTCTGTTCTTTGTCCCTCTCTTTCTCTATCCATTCCTCCCTCTTTCTCTCCACCTCTTGTAAATAATGTGAATGTGTTCTTGGCATGAGGGGTATATGGTCAGTCTGGCAGCAAGTGCATTTTAAAATTATTTTCAAAAATTAAATGATATCAAAAGTACTCTTGATGATATAAATTATTTATTATTAAACTAATATGAATATGAAATAATTACTCAAAGTGTAATCTGTTTTCAATAGTTTCGTAATAAGGTAAAGAAAAACAAGTTTGTTTATGTTTCCTGTCTAGATATAGTGCTGTTAGTGTATTATTGGTCTTGAGAGATTCCATCAATACCAGTACTCCATCAGTATCAATGTTAGTACCATCAAGACAAAGGCCAGCAAGTGTGTGGTTGTAGAGTAAAAGTTCAGCTAGTGACTGAGCACTGGTTGAAGTGATGTCAGGATTTCTATGAAGGAGTAAGCTAGTAATTGTTTTATTATTAATTAATGATTGTGTTAGTGCAATTACTCCATCATCATTGATGGAATCATCATTGATCACTAGTGTCTCTAATGAAGTATTGTTTGTTATTTTGTGTGACAGTAAGAGGATGACATCTTTTGTTATTTTAGTGTAATATATACCAATCCACTTTATTGTTCTTATCTCTAGTACTAGTGACAGCAGTAGGTATACAATATCAGGTGATGAATGATAGAGAATAATGTTCTGATGACTGTCGGCTAATTGACTGATCACTTCTTGACATTGACCTGCTGATGGTCTAGTGAGGGTTACACTATCAATGGTCCACTCCACCTCTCTAGTCCCTTCTCCTAATAATAAACACAGTCAGTCAGTTAATGTGTGTATATTATTATTTTAATACAGTATAATAGGTAAATAATTATGGTTGTTTGTGTGTTGTTCCAGGTGATGCTAGTTTTTGTACCAGTAAGTCATTATAGCTGCTAGGATGTAACAGTAAACAAAAATCAATTCCTTGTTTTATTAATGTACTGGAATCAATAATTATTGTTCCTCCATCTCTCTCTCCCTTCATCACTCTCTCTCTCCAGCTTTACTTCCCTCCATCTCTTTCTCTTTCTTTCCCTTTTCTTCCTTCTTCCTCTCCCTCCCTCAGGTTATCTCTCTTTCCCCTCTCTCTCTCCTTCTCTTGTAGGGTGAAGGTCACTGTAGTACTTATAAACTGATTCAACCACATGCAGTTAAGTGTGGACACAATTTGAGCCTGGTTTGTGAATGATTTCAAGTTAAACTGGCTTGTATAGGAAGATGAGACTTAATGTTTGTGATTATTTTAGTAAATCTAGTTTTTTGTGTGAATTTTTGCTATGTTATTAAAAATTAGAAATTATTGTTAAACATAAACACTTTTTGAATATACTATAAAAATTGTAGATGACTGAACAGTTTTAAAAGTGACACAAAATTAATTGTATTTTTGCCTCCACCATGTAAACAATAGTTACAAGCTATAGCATCTGCATTAATTTACTTAGCAAAACCTGATACAAAATATGGGTAATTTTAAAAGGAGAACCTCCTGGGAAACTTTATGTTACACGAACTATGAATCTGATTGGCCGATTACAACTAGGCAAAGCATGCAAGTATAAACTACACACTATCAATATAGTCTATTAATTATTTACTGTATCTCTACAGGACACAATTATTAATTAATTAATTACTTGAGGTATTTGATGGTTCTTTAGTTTGATGTGATTCCACATTTATTATTAGTCTATCCAACTGTTCCTTTATCTCTTGATGAATAACCTGTTGATCCTCTTCTCTTTTATCTAGTGTCTTTTCACTGGATATTTCCTGGTCCAGTTTCAATGTATCTCTTTCATAATCTATCAGTGATAGAGTACATTACTAATAAATAATTAATAAATTTTACCTTTTATTTTATGCATCAATTCTTCATTCTCTTCTCTTTTATTTAGTATATGTACACTCATTACTGATATTCGTCCTCATAGTTCAGCTATTTCTCTCTTAATATCTATTAATGATTCATTCTGATCCAGTAAACCTATCATAGTATATTTATAATACACTAACACATACATTATGATTCAGTATACCAGTTTTATTTGTTGATATTTGCTCTATTTCCATTCTCATTCCCTTTATAATTTTGTTTGATGCTGCAATAATAATAACAATAAATTATAAGAAAAATAATAAATTTCTGACCTGAAGTAGAATCTGTACGACATTTAATATGATATTCTTTTTTCATTCCTAAAATAATTAATACAATCAACATTTTACATCATATGAAGGTGGCAATTGGATCCCTTATTATGAGTCATTTCAATAGCTACTATCACATTTTGGACTTAAATGACATTTTACATGATACTCCACCAATGTTAGGTACTATTATATGTCATATTGTGTATAATTACTTTGTAGTTTCTCTTCCAAATCATTGGTTGCCTCTTTTACTTCCTTTAATTCCACTAGTGTACATTCCTCTTCATTTTGATCCTCCTATCAGTAACTAAGTATTACACTATTATACTAATAACTAACAACTACATGTAATTCTGAAGTATAATTATTTACACATTAATCAAATGATAGTGATATTTATAAGCAGTATATAGCGGAAAATTTGGCGAACTTTTTTACTTTGGAGATTGGTAATAAAATTGCCAGAATAAAATCTCCACTTTTGCTGTATTCCAAGCATCATCAGAAACACGTGGCTGTCACTTTGCTAATATAAAACTGTCAAAATTAAGTACTGCCAAATTTTCTTGCTATACTGCAGTGGCAATAATGTACAAAATAAAATTTATTATACACAATGTTTGATATTAATTTATCGCTAACCTTAGTTTTCTGTATTATTGACAATTTCTGTATTTTTTGCTTCATTTTATACAATTCCTACATGCACAGATTTTATAATGAAACATGCAGTGATTGATAATTTATCAATAAGCTACACTAATATAACAACACACTCCAACAGTAAGCTCTTATACATTAAAGTATTACTTCCTCCTATACTTGTAATACCAACAAACAGGTACCTTTTCTTTATCACTAATTATGTTTGTTAGTTGCTGTGCAGTTTCTTTAATTCTCTATTGATTATAATAATAAAGTAATCAAACACAAATTATTATACCTTTGTATCACAAGGTTGTTCCTTCATCTCCTGTACCTCCTCTTCCAGTGGTTCCTGTATTTCCTTTATAATACATTATGTAATGATAATTACTGACTGTATATATACACATACTTGTATCTTTTTTTTCTTCCATATTGTGCAGTATCCAACAGTAAGCTTCATTAGACCATTTTTTATTAATAATTTAAGATTCTCACTCAATTTTATAATGAGAGCTCCAGTGAGAGAGTGAGGGAAGGAGCAAGTGACAATGATGGAGTTTCCTTTCTTGATGTATTTTATTTTCACTAGTTTACCAGACGTTTTGGAAATGATTTGCTTGATATCTTGTAGCATGTGCTCATCTGGTTCCCAGTCAAAGACATATGTAACTGTTTCACATTGAAGAGAAGGACTACCTCCTAATGCTTCAAACTTCTCATTTAAGCAAAGAGTAATCTTCACTGTGCGACAAAACTCTTTTAATATGGCTTTGTATTCTGTGATGTATTTTTCAGCTTCTTCGATTTCAAATTCATCAACCAATGATTGAAGCAACTTAATATTGATCAATGAACACTCATTCTCTACTATGGACAATACTTCAGAAATATCTCTGCATTCACTTAATGATATTTTGAGGCTTTTCTTAAAGCAACAAAGATATTCTTTGACGTCATCTAAAGGTAGTGGCTTGTTCTTCATTATTTTACGAACTTTGTACAACATTCGACCATAAGACGTTTGTATTGAAGTGAATTCATCACTCATGCATTGAGGAATGGCTATCTCAACTATTAGAATCAAAAATAAATTGCAGTTTTATTATTAATATTATACGTACCAGTTGGTGTAATAGGTGGAGTAGGTGATGGTATAGTTGTTCTAGTGCTTAACGTATTAGTGCTCATATCATCATCAGGAATAACAACTCTAATAACTTTGTTATCATCATTGAAGTATTTGTCTATAAAACAAAATACTGATCATGATTTAGGTATTAATGTGAAATGTAATAGACTCACCATAGTCTCTTTGTATAACTGTTCCTAGTTTTACATTACCAGTGAACTTGCACAACACACTAGCAAATGTTTGTAGTAAACTATACTTGCTTTCAATAGCTACTATAATGGCAGCTAACAGGACTTCAAGTTGACTAGGAACAGAGGGACTAGCTGATTCCACACTAGCCAATATTTGTCCTGTTATGACACCCTCTCTTTGAAGCATAATAGCTACACTGACAGGATCAGAGAGAGACTGAGAGAGGAGTGGATGATGAGTGTTGAATATATCAATAGCCTTAGCTTTACGTTCTATAGAATACACACACACAGTCAATACTAATACAATCAGTGATATTAACTTACTCTCTTGATCTAACATGTCAGCTGCAGCATTCTCATTCATAGATTTAAGAGCATCTGACAGTGAGTCAAAGGTAGCTCCTCCTTTACTGTCAACATTATCAGCTCTGGACAACCACTTAGAGAGACATTCCATCAAGCATCGATATACATTATTAGGATGATTCCCTTCAATGCCGTCCAGTGTGTTCTTGTGTAGTCCTAGTTTAAGTCCCAGCTCACACCATCTTGTCTGAGGGAGGCCACTTCCCTCTAATAGATCCACCACATCAATAAGTTCCTCTAAAATCATATTAAATAATACATAAATAGTAATGAACTTTACCAATAGTGAAAGGAGAAGAGAAGAGACTCAGAGAAGAGGAACAAGAACTGGTTTTAGTTGCCATTTATCAAAGAACGAGACACCTACGGTGCATGGCCTCGCCCCTATAGCTGCTATGGTGCATGCCCTCACTGCAATAGCTGTTTGATTATCAGCACGAAGAGAGTCTGCTCAACACTAGCTTCCTGCAGTTGCATGCACTTGCTCTTGAATACCTGCAGAAGTAGCAGCACTGCAGCACATACATGCAAGCAGCTCCAGCCCCTCCCATGCATGTAGATTGAAAGGTGTGGCATTAGGGTAGAGAGGTCTAATAATAATAATAATAATAATAATAACAACTTTACAAAAACAAAGACAAAGTTAACAAATAAAAGCAAAAGTTGGTAAAAAAATGGTGTCTCTGAAGGACTCAATGACCGAATCAGAGAGCCTAAAATTAAATTAAATTACACTACATTAAAAATTAAATTTAGATTTAAAACAGAACATAATATTAAAATGAGGAAAAATTAGGAGTTTTGGGGGAGTGAGAACATTTATTACATGGACATGATAAGTGATAGGTGCATGGGTGGTCAACATTATAAGAGTTGAGAAAATGATTCCATAGAAACTTTTTCACCTTCATACAGTTTGTAGTGGGAGAGAGACTTAAATCGAATGATGGCAGCCCATTCCAAAGCCTAGGGAGCCTATGGAAGTAGGAGCCAGAAGTTTGAGAAGATGAAGTGAGCCTGTGATGCAGCTTGTGATGATGGCCAGTTCTTG